GGGCTCTTACAAAGGTAAAGCTAAAAGATAAGCAGATTTTTAAAAAATCTAATTAGCAAAGGTTCCTTATGATCACATCTACCTCCACTGCAGTTCAGGAAAGGTTCAAACAATCATGGTAAAGTAGATAGAATTCTGGAAATTCAGTAAGATGCCGAGTGAACTCTTCATGCTCATGGGATCCATCTTCAAAACTTCACTATGGTTGGGGTGTGGTGCTGCACGCCTGTAATCACAACACTCAGGAAGCTGAGGCAGGAGGATCAACATGTGAATTCAAGGCTAGCCTGAACTACACACTGAAACCCTATCTCAAAAAATAACAACAACAAAAAACTTCACTATGCACTGCAAGCCAGCTATCTTGTTCAATCAAAAAGCGAAACACTGTTTTTAAATCTCGATTGTACTGGAATCTTTACTAGCGGTACATAATTACCTACATTTCTAGTAACTAAAACAAATCAAAACCAAAATATTCCAGCGAAGAGTGCGACCACAAATCTTCTCCAGAGACCATCCAACAGCCAACACAAAAGGTCTCTAATGGATCCGGTGCCAAGTGTGGGAGATTCTCGTGCCAGCTTACACACCTGAAAAGCCCATCTCCTTGGCAGTGGGGTGGGCACATGGGGGGGAGCTCTGCCAGTGCTCCTCCAGTCCTCCCTCTGCACCTGCCATGCCTCCCATACACCTCCCTTGCACCAAAGTATTTGTTTTGGTTTGGTTTTTTAAGATAATTGTGGTTTTTCAGGCTGGTCTTGCACTTACTATGCAGCCCAGGCTGGCCTCAAACTCATGGTGATCCTCCTGCCTCAGCCTCCAGAACGCTGGAATTATAGGCATATACCACCACAGCCGGCACCACTGGGCTTTCAACCACACCAGCAGGCTCAGCCCTTTAAAGCTGTGGCCCATGAGCTGTCATCAGTTCAGATTAAAATTCCCGGCACAGTGCAGAACCGATACTCCAGTACTGATTACACTGTGTCTATGCCTTGCCTTTCGGTAATAACTTAAACTTCACTTTTCCATAAAACATCTTTCAGCAGCCTGTCTTCCTCAGCCACTTGATAGACCACCGAGCATTTCCACATTCCTTTAACCCACAGCGCAGGCATGCTTGGTGTCTACAATTCCACAGGGAAAAAAGTCCTGCTATTCTGCCGGATCTCCCCTGAAACCTGTGGGACACAGTTAACTAAGGAAGATCTGCGTTCCAGAGTGGCTCCCGCACACACGCCCAGAAAAGCAGGAAAACTTACAGGGAATGGACAGCCTGTTACAGAAGAGCCCAGACAACCTGCTGACAGCGAGAGAAAAACAGGCACCATTTGGCCCAGCAGCGAGGACAGAACTGCGACCCAATGGGACGCTGGAAGAATGCCAATTTCTAATCAGACCTGTAAGACACTTGGTCCCAAGTGTTTTGAAAATCGATTTTTTACAGAATACCTTTACAAATAAAAATGTAGCATAAACATTTTTTATTTTATAAAAAATAAAATTAAATATATGGGTCCTGAGGGCCCATGAGTAGTACAGACAAAGCTAACATGAGTCATTGTAGCCATGTATGTAAAGATATAAAATATATGCGTACACAGTTGGTTACTGATCTGTTAGTACTCACTGTATCAGTCCCCTCTGTATTTTGTGGTCCTTACAAGGACAGCCTGGCTTTCCATAAATACTGATGGGATAATTCATGCAGAAAGTGTTTAAGATGGTAAAAAGCACCCACCTGTTGTTCAACGTCCCTTCCTTAAAGTCATGGACAGTGAGAATAAAAGGAGGAACAACACACATGACTCATGTGAATAATTAGCTGCCTTCCTAGATTTCTAAGTAAGGAATGTCGAGGGTGAATTGACTTAATGTGAGAATTTATATAATGTCAAGCTTTTCTCAACAGCATACCTATTCAGGGTGTTCAGTGACTGGGTGTCTTTCTTGATTTCTATCTTTCTTATTATCATTGCTGGCAGTGGGGCAGTAACATTGCCAGCTGTTTACCTCGGCTTGCTAAGACCATGTGGGTAGAGTATGTGGTCTTCTGTGCACCTGATTAAAAGTAAATAATGAAGAATAAAAGGACTTAGACACTCCTTCTCATTTCACTCCTCCCAGCACCGTTCAGAAAGTTATTCATCTCAAACCCCTTAAGGGTTTTTATTTTTAATCCATCTTTAGAAGTTAAGCACAAGAACTTCCAAAGTCATGAATTTTATTAACAGAACATCCCTCTGATGAACGCTTTTAGGACACTAAAGCAATTACGAAACCATCTATCTTTTCAAACTAAAATTCAAGTTTAGGCAAAGCCGGCACCGATACTGTACATGCAGGCACTGAGTGGAAAGAGCACAAGAGCGTCCACCTACACTCAGATGTTTGGTCTCTAGGGGGAGGCGCGTCCTGATCCACAACATGAACACACACGAACTTGGCAGTGAGGCATACTTTCCTGGAGAGGGATCAGAAGAGCCGGGCCTGAACGGGCGAACCACACACGCCTTCACCAACGTGGGTCCCTACAGCGACAGGCAGAGGAGCACAGAGGGACGCAAGCCAGGCACCGCCTCGGGCCCCGCTGGATCGGCAGCTCTGAGTCAGTGCTCAGGGTGCAAGGTGAACTACGACACAGATGATCCCTGTTGCGATTTACCTGTATGATGAATCGCTGGGAACCACAGGGGTCTGGGAGAAATGTTGTTTGGATTTAGGTACACTAAGCAACCAGTACCATGAAGGGAATGAAGCGCAAAGCGCAACTCCAAGGCTGCACCAACGCCATCCTTCTGGTTCAATTTGAAGTCACTGAACACAGAGGTTGCTCAGACTACGTGAAAAAGGAAATGCAGTAACGGCCTTGTTTCTGGGCAGTCCAGTGCTAAAACTGTAAGACACGAGATGCTGCCAGATGCATGAGATAATCTAAGCATTGTAAAATGTTAAAGAGAGAGCTGCTTATAATCCTGGCACCCAGGAGGCTGAGGCAGGAGGACTGCTGTGGTTAGAGATCATCCTGGGCTACACAGTGAGTTCAACTTGCACTACAGAGTGATGCCTTATCTAAAAACATATATTTATATTATATTATATTAAGACAAAATGTCTGTGTAATTCTGTTCAGAATAGAATACCAAAGCTCTGTTATTGTCTTCAAGTTGATATTGTTTTCTTCAATTTTCACAGAGCAATTTTTGGCATTTCCACATTGTGATTTACATGATAGGTACAAGTTTAAATTCCTAGGACACAGCCGGGCATGGTGGTACAAGCCTGTAATCCCAGCACTGGGGAGGCTGAGGCAGGAGGATTGCTGTGAGTTTGAGGCTAGCCTGGGCTACAAAGTGACAAGGCCACCTGAATTGCATAGCAAAACCCTGTCTCAAAAAGACAAAAATAAGTAAATAAATAGTAAATGCCTAAGACTCTGCCTTTAGAATCTCCCCTTCTTCCAAAACAACAGATTTCTAACACAAAGCTGTGGAAGCCAATTTAGTGTACCAGCTAAGAAATGAGCCTACAGCCTCAGACTGTCCATGTTTAAACCCTGGCCCCACTGCTAAATAGCTCCTGAGACCTCGGGCAAGCTTTTAATCTATGTCTTCCTCTGGGCATAGCTCAAGTGAGTAGCAGGATTATTGTGAGAATTAAATGAGACGATAGTATAAGCGGCTTAGCTCTGTGCTGGTGTTATGGTTAAGTATTTAATAAATGCTCTCCGGCACTGCTACATCAAAGGAGGAATCACCTAATAGATGACTGGTGGAGAAGTAAAAATTCTCATAAAAAATTAAAGAGGAACTCACCCTATGTTTCCTTGAATCAACATCAGAATTTCTCCCAGATTTAAGTGCTCCACAAGTAAATGGAATGAAGGATGCCCGGTTTAATTAAATTTCAGATAAACAATCAATATTTCTTTTGTACACTTATATCCCAAAGATTGTATGGTAGGAGAAATCTGCTAGGGTAAGAATTTTACTTCCTGGTTTCATGAAAGTCTCTGTATTTTACAAATGTCTCCTTCCTCTCTGAGGAACTGTCTGCCTTGTCATCTTTCGGAAGCCCTCTGACCATACATTTATGCCTTGTAACACCAAGAAGTTGAAGTAAAAGTGAGTCTTACACTACACATGGGAATACGTTCCTCCTACATTTCCTACCGACTGCCGCCTACCTTGCCTAGCGGCTTATACAACTCTGGTTCTGGGGAGCCTGGCTCAGCACCACCCAGTTTCCAACAAACCAAACCATTTAGCGCTGCATCAAAGTCTACATATCATTCTCCTCCTTGGGTGCCCAAACTTTTGGCCTGAGCCACACAGAAAATATACAATATGGTCAGTGTAATGAAACTTCTCTTATTTTTAAATATTGTTTACCATCACATTGAAAATAAACAGGGCACAGCCCACAGGTTGGGCACACCTGCCTGAACCTACGCTACAAACCACTAAGAAGTACCAGCTTTAACAAATTTGCTTTGAATACTACCAATCACTTTTTAAAAAAATTTTTTATTTTTTTTATCTTGAGACAGGGTCTCACTATGAAGTTCAGGGTGGCCTTGAACTCACTTTGTAGCCCAGGCTGGTCTTGAACTCACAAAGATCCACTTGCCTCAGCCTCCTGAACGCTGGGATTACAGGCATGCGCCACCACGCCCAGCTTCTAACAGTCACTTTTAAAAGCCAATGGTGAATTTTCCCGCATCAGCAGGAATTTCTTTGGATTAGATGGGCACAAAGGGTTTCCACATGCAGCCCATCGGTTTCAAATCAGAAGTGGGTTCTCAGAAGGCAGATTTGCCTATCTGGGAATAAGCAAGTTCCTCTGAGGAACAGAACATTTCTGGAATATATTAGGTTATATCTATGAAGGTGTGGCATATTATATATTCAGTACAAGTAGATCTTTCACAGAGAGCAGTCCTGTTCTGTTGGCAGTTCCACCAGTCGCTCCAGCTCTGGATGGGGCGTCTTACTCACCCCTCAACACCGACTTGAGGTTGAGCTTGGCCTGGCGGTGCAGGTCCTCCACACAGGGGGGTCTGGTGCTGGGAAGGAACACGTTCTCCTGCTGGTGCCATGGAGCTGTGTAGTGCACTGTCCAGCGGCTCTCCTCGTCAAGGTTGGAGACCGCTACGGAAAGAAAGAACAAATTCAGACGTCGAATTAAGCTTCCCTGACTCCCAATTTGTTCCACCAAGATCAGGCCTGGGGGCGGTCTAACATATCCACAGCTAAGGACCAGCAAGGAGACCCTGGGCAAGGTCTGAATGAGACCAAACCTTTGACTCCAGGGGTCTTGACTACCATGTTCTCCCTGTGCGGAGAAAGCCGAAACTGTCCATTTGCCACGCAACGTTTTCACAGAACTATTTCCTCAACCTAGATCTTAGTCCTCTAGCCCTGCCAAATTAGAATAACAAGTGACAAAACTGACAGACCTGCAAGTCCTACCTAACTCCACCACCTCCACAAGACCAGTTATTCAATGGTAGATACATACATAGAATGTATGTATCAGTAAATATTAGCTTAGCCAGGCGTGGTGGCACACACCTGTAACCTCAGCCCTTGGGAGGCTGAGGCAGGAGGATTGTTGCAAGTTCCAGACCAGCCTGGGCTACAAAGTAAGCTCAAGGCCAGCCTGAACTACATAGCAAGACCCTGTCTCAAAAAGACCAAAAAAAAAAAGGTAAATATTAGCTTGTCTTGACAGAAACAAATTTCCTACCAGGAAATTGAGATCAAATCTTTCCCTTCTATAGCATTATTTTATTTCTTTATTTTTGAGAAAGGGTCTCACTTTGCAGTGCAGGCTTGAACTCACTATGTAGCCCAGGCTAGCCTTGAACTCAAAATGATCCTCCTGCCTCTGCCTCCCCACTGCTAAGATCACAGGTGAGTGCCACCATGCCCAGCTATAGCATTATTTTAAAACATCACTGTCATAAATTTAAATAAATCTTTTAAAAATCTGCATACACATTCAACTTAATATATGGGATGGTAGAACAGACATGGAGATCCATTTATGCTATAAAAAGTTCTCTAAATTATTGCTTTCACAGAATATGTCTACAATAAAATGCTTTTAGAAATTACAATGAAGTTGAATTTTTTCAACACAGTCCAATTCAATTATTTTCCCTAACACAGGAGTTTAAAACATTAGATGGAGAAATAGTAGACAATCCTGAGATTAAGGTAAATCTCTACAATAATTTCCTTTTATCCCCCCAGGGCTTGAGACCTCTTTACTTCATTTTTCCCGACAATACTAGCTTAGCTGGACTATGCACAAACCCCTGCATGAAGCCAAGAACACCCAAACAAATTCATCAGCAACTTTTAAATGCCTTCTATAGCTCTGCCACATAATCCAGGCATCAGAGAAACGAGAGAAAGCCCCCACCCCATACTGAGGCACTTCTGTGAGGTGTCAAGGTGAATGCTTGTAAAATCAGCAGACACTGGAACAGTGAGTCAGAGGCCAGTCCCAACTCTGACCTCCGCTGGGCAGTTTCCACCACAAACACCCTTGGCGACAACATAATGTGGCCCTAACAACAAGCTCATAAGACAGATTGCCAGGGGCTGGGGATTTGGCTCAGCGGCACAGCGCCTGCCTGGCAAGCGGAAGGTCGTGAGTTTGAGTCCTAATACCAGGAAAAAGAAAAAAAAAAACAAGACAGATTGCCAATGTACAGCACAAAGGCATACACAAACATTGGGTCGATTCGAACATATTTCAAGTTAACTAAACACAGCCCACAGCACACTTACATTACTGTTATGATGAACCAGCTTGTCATGGCGGTGCACACCTGTAATCCCAGCTACTTAGGAGGCTAAGGCAGGAGGACTTCGAGTTCAAGGCCAGCCTGGGCGACTTAGTGAGACTCTGTCTCAAAGTAAAATAACAAAGGGGCTGGAGATGTGACTCCCTGGGTTCAATCTGCCCCCACCCAATCAAATGAACTCATTTATGTAAAGTTCTTAGCTCACGAAGTAGCCCGTGTGAAGCCTGGCTATGGAAGGGACAGTGGACACTATTCTGAAGGAGCCCCTAACTTCAAACCACCACTAAGAAAGAACTATGTTTTTCTCAACCTCCCTGTAACCCTACACCATAATTCAGCTCTCACCTCAAAAACTACCTTTCCTATCGCTACTAAATTTTAAGATCCTATGAATCCTATGAGTCTTTCTCAAAGAATCCCACCCTTTCCATAAATTGCTAAATGGGAAAACAGACATTGAGAACTAGACATCAAGTTAAAAGCAAAAATACCCTATCTGCTTTGTGCTTACGATGTTTGACAAAAGCCTAATGTTGTGTGTAATCTCTTGCAGAATAAATGTTTTGCCTGTGTGTAAACCGTCCACCTCTGTGCACGAGATCCACAAGGACCTGGCTTCGTGCCCACATACGTTTCCGAGTCTAGCAAGGTGCCAAACTGGCCACAGGTCCCCCTAAGGGTTCCCAGAGGTCATTATGACGCTCACTACAATGAGCTAATGCCCACTTATTTCAAAGATTTACTACCATCCTTCATAGACGGAAAGCTGAAACTTTTCCTTTTTGCCAGTCACAATGAAATCCAAGCAACAGCACCTGAGTCTGTGTAATCATCACACCATTCACCCCAGCGCACAACCACGGCCCGGCTGCTCTGAAACAGCAGTCAGTCGTCTCTTCCCTGACCTAACTCGCTCTCGCCAGGGCAGATTTTACCAGTCTCCCCAAAGCCGGCCTGCGAACAGGAAAGAGGCAGAGGGTGGTGAGGGTGGTGGCGGGGGGAGTTTCTTTGTTGCTTTTTCCAAAGCTGCTCTTACCAATGTCCCCACCCATGCACACAGATCCAGTTTAAGTCACTGATCCAAAAACTAAACTGAAATAAGCCAGTAACCACATGGAAAAAAAGGCCGTCATTGTGAAAAATTATATTCTCAAGGCATGAAGGAGCACCTGGATTACACTTAAACCCACAGAAAGTACACAATGAAGCCAGCACAAAAGCTCCATGCTTCACAACCCTCACTGGTCCGTCTAGACGGTCTGACCTTGAGGTCTTAAACATATAACAAAGTGCCAGAGGCATCCCCACCAAAAGTGTGTGTGTGACACATTACCTAAAGGCTGCCAGGCAGGCGAAAGGATCGACAACAACACCCTGTGTATCAAGGGAGACGAGGTAAACACCAAGACTTCCCTTTTCTTTAAAGACTTCTTTGGAGAAGTACAAAAGAAGTGAAGTCACTTAAAATCCCAACCATAAATAAATAAGACATGCCAAGATCACATACCATGGTCCTACAGTCACAGAAGTCAGAGGCATTTCAACAACCTGCAGAAAGTGGAGTTTAGCTCAAGCCAATCATGCTGTTTCACACTCTCATTCCTTTGCTCCAAAGGACGGAGGCGCGCATAAAACACACAAGCATGCACGTATGCACACACACACAATAGGTGGAGGGAGAAAAGGAATTACTTACTTTTCTTCTTAAAAAGCTTAATGAAAGACTTAATCTTTGCATTTATGAACACCACCATGTCTGGAGCGCCTACATAGGGTTTAGGGGTGTAAATCACATTAAAACCTCAGTCCCACGGGCAGGTGGCAAGTTGCGCTCTTCTGCCCCAGATTCTAACTTTCTTCCTCCTGTCTCCCGTCCTCCCCTGTCTGTGGGGACGGCTGGAACTCAGAGGTTGAGTTTATTGTCAGGCAGTTACAACCCATTAGCAGTCCTTGAACCTGAAAAACTCCCATGAAACCTAATCTTGAAGGCTAGGAGCAGCCAGTAACAACGGGCGCAGAAAGAGAAAGCCAATCGCAGTCTTATTTGCATGATAGCTGCACCAGGCTCTCTGCCCCGCGCTCGCTTGCTCATTCATCCACTTCCTCGGGCATAGACCAGAAGTTCCTCCTCCCTGGAGTCTGCAAAAACGCAGTAGATTTTCCTCCTCGGAAATCAAGACTAAACAAACACGCTCCCCGTTTTCAGCAGGCCGCTGTGGACATCCAGGTCGTTTTACAGGAGCCCGCAAGTCTGAGAGCAATGCCGCGCTGATTCTTTGACTCTCCAGTTAATTGCGGTGTGTGGGATTTGGGATTTGAACTGACACAGGAGAAAAAAAGAACCAAACTATTGTTTGCTGACCACGCCCCCCGGCCCTGCCTCCCAGACCAAAGGCGCATTTATAAGCAGTAAAACTTTACAATAGAATCTCTAAGGAGCTGTGAGGGATGGCCCGGTGCATTTTTATGCAAATAACGATGCCCAGACTCCTCACCCTTCTTTGCCAGTGACTGTGAACCAGTACTGTGCGTTCCGCAGCGTGATCTTACTTGTATCCAGCCGCCACAACTCTTGGAAAACCTGAACACAGCCGGGGATGTAGCTCAGCGGCACAAGTGCCTGCCTGGCAAGTGCAAGGTCCTGAGTTTGATTCCCGGAACCAAAATAAAAAGAAATAAAAACAAAAACCTGAACACAACTTCTCCAAATGAGAAATTAGATGAGGACCCCTCATCCTTTTCATCTTTATTCGGAACGTAATTCTCACCTACGTGCCCAGCTCAACAATCTCACAACTGCTCCCCAGGCAGAAGTCCCAAGCACTGTGCAGATTACTCCTAACTCCGGCCCACTGTAGTGAGTTGTTTCTTTGGCGCATTTGAAACCAATCTCTGAGAAATGGGGAAACAAACACAAAGGGAGGAATCAGAAATGGGGTGTAAGGAAGCACTAGAAAAACATATTCCAGGAGGAGTGAAAAAGAAAATACAGATCAAGAGATACGAAAAGGGCAAGGGACAGAACACTGCTCACCTCTCACCCCAGCTCCACTTCATCACAGTTTTTGAAACAACTTAGAGGACCTCATATTTCATAGCTTTGGGCCAGACTTGTAACTAAATGGAAAAATGTAATAATCCACTAATTCAAAACATTTAGTTTATAACAAAGGCTCTTAGTCAAAGAATAAAATTTATAGAAGGGGCCCCCTCCAGGGAAAGCTTTGGAATGGTGCCTCCTCAAACACTTTATCCCTTCCAGCTTAGGTTCTGAACAACAAAAGCAAACAAGAAAACACACTGCCGTGCGTATCACAGATTTCCAACTTGTAT